AAATAATAATAATTTCAAATGACAGGACGCCATGTCATAACCACTTTTGGACGACGTCGGTTATCGCAAAGGTTTTGCTCTATGCTGTTGGACGAGATCAGTTTGGTAATAAATTTGCAGTTAAAACAGATTAAAATAGTTTTGAATGCTAGAGTAAATGTTAAGTTGGCCTCAGGAATCAAATTTTCTGTACAACAGAAACTCTTTTTAACAAAGAAATAATAAAAAAGTGATACGGACACAAATGGCAATTTTCAGTACATGTCCACAAAATGAAACCCACCCGCCTCGGCCAACATACTCCGGACTGCGCCACGTCCCGTCTCTATGGGCTCAAAGTTGTTTTTTTGTTGTTGTTGTTTTTTTTTTCCTTTTCGAGGCCACCCTTTGTCACCACCAAGCACCACACCAGGGAGAGCGGACAAGAAACTGGTGCGGCGCCGGCCGACCAAGCCTGTCGACCCCAGCAGCAGCATGAGGCATCTCCCCCCTACCTCCCTTTTACACGCACCGGCGCACCCACAGCACTATGGGAGAATAAAGGAGAGCCTGGGATGAGAGAGAGACGGAGAGAGATGGAGGAAGAGAGGGAGAGTACTTGTGTTTTGGTCAGGCCCAGGAAGCAGAAGGGCGCCGAGATGAACTCGACGGGCTGACCTCACTTTACCCTCTAGAGTATTAAGCAGTATTAAGAGCGCCTAGTTGCGTGGCGTGGCAGGCGTGGCTTCAGTGGCTCGCAGATTTCCCGGGGCGATTGCACGCGTTTTCAGTGGGCTGGGCTATGGTTCAAGGGTTGCTCGGTGGTAGGGGTCACGCTTTGGAGTTCGTCCCCCGCACGCCGCCCCTGGCCCCTGCAGCAAGGAGAGCGCGGCCGCTGCACGACACGAAGGCCTCCCCGGATGGACTACCTGTTGCTGCCGTGTGCCTGACTTCAGCCACCCCGGCCGCAGCATTGCACCTCACGACGAGCCGGATGCCATATCAAAACTACACACACGGGAAATGAAAAAGAATAAATAGATAAAACACGCAGAGAAGGCAACACGCGTGTTGTTGTGGAAACACAAGACGAGGACGAGGTGGGCGCCATGCGAGGCATCAGCATGACGGACCTCATTATACAACGCCTGGGCCGGCGGTGTGAGGGGTGGGAGAGGAGGTAATTAGCTCGGAGAGAATGACCACGAGCCTGAGGAGAGGGGGGGGTGAGTCTAAACAACGGGGACAGAGAGGGGAGCGGGCAGAGCAGCACCAAACGAAATGAAGAGGGGGAGAGGAGAGATGAGAGGAGAGAAGCAATATTCACAGCAGCCACCTTGCCGCAGGGGAGAGGGCCGGGCCGGGCTATTAAATAAAGATAAAAAAAAGAGGAAGAATTGGAGCATGGGAGGGGATGGAAGGGATGATGCCCCCGGGGGACATCGAAAAACGCAGCTATTGCCGAGCCCGTCGTAATCCAATCGAACAGGTAAAGAGGGTTGTATCACGGTCAACAACAACAACAAATGAGAGCCCCCTTTCAAGGCCGTGCGGGGGATGAAATGTTTCGAACTTGCGATATGACCTTAGGGAGTAGTTTAATGATAAATATTTTGAATCATTATCGTTACGACAGAGAGCGTCTGGGAGCTTACTTTTCGCGACATCTAAAGGCAAGTAAGAATGTTTCCGGCTACACCAGGGGTTGGTGGTTCACTGTCGTTTGAATAAATGACTACTAAGGGCTAGGGAAGGGATGTTGGTCACCCGGTGTCCCATCATCCCCCACCAATCCTCCCTCGGCCCGGCCCAGGACGTACCGTGCCGCTGGACCCACCACCAAGCCGGAGCTGGAAAGTGGATATTTGAATGGTAAAAGCGCTAAAGCTTTCTGAATATTTCATGAAGTTTCGTTTGATGATACCCCGAAGGGCCGTCGAAACAACCACTTTCCAATGCGCAAGTGTGAGGAAGGGAAAGAAAATCTGGGAAGGAGTGCGAGAGGGGAACGCAAAGAAATCAGGTCATGAATTCTCCC